TTTTTTTTTTTTTTTTGTTTGAAGCATTAATTACAGATCTATTATGCAGTTTTTAGGGGGGTATTCTGGTTTAGAAATTCGAAAAATGGATATTTATATGTATATATTTATAGCATAACCCTCGAATAAAATGTTCCTAGGAGCATTTTTCGAAACTCAAATTATTTTCCGAGTTACAGCTCATTTTGTGACGCACCGACAAGACCGTTTCGCAGCCGGTGACAACTTTAAACTCGTTTTTCTCATAACTACTTTTGTAGAAACGGTGTGTATCTCAAGTTTTACTCAACCGATTCACATGAAATTTTACACAGAGTTCGCTAATACATTATACAATCGCATTAAGAAGAGTTTTCGAAAGATTTTTATTTTTATTTTTAAAAAATTCCGAATCACAAAAAAAAACATGGAAAGTACGAAACTTTTTTTTGAAACCTCCATCATTCTGTAAGTTTTCTTTTTTTTTTTCAAAAACGTTTCGTAGTGCGATAACTTCACGTTCACTCTTCACGGATTTCGAATAAATTTTTATTTTAGGTCACTTAAAATATTTATATCCAGCACACCAGGACAAGCCATTGTTTCATCAGTCTTTATTTCGCCGATCTGCAGTTTTTTAAATTAAACTCTCTTTCTTATATTATTAATGTGTTGTATTCGTAGAATATCAATGAAAAGCATATAAAAAAATGGATAGCCAAAATTTTTTCATTTGATTGATTTGATCCTTTTTATCGCGTCAAAAAAGAAAAAAAAAACCTAAAATTCGGGTTTCTAAACCAGAATACCCTCTTAATTATTCTGGTTAATTTTAGATATTAATCGGCATAGTTTATATGTTTCGCTAACATATGGTGATTGATTTGACTACAGTTATATCATAGAAGCCATACCACAGTCGCTGAGCATTACTCATTAAAAAGAGCGCATAATTTTATTCTATGTTATTTTAAATATTCGAATAAAGGACTACAATATTTTAAGGGTTGACATACTCTCACTTCCATCTCTTCTCTCATGACTTTTAGTAACTGCTTCAAATATTTTCGCAATAATAAACGGACTTATCAAATTCGATAAAAAGCTAATAAATTTCAATGATATTGTCTGCGACAGTTTCACTTTCTAATTTATTACGATTATATAAGCTATAAGCTATTACTGTTAATTAGATAATTAGCTGCACGCAACCAATCGCCATAACTTTTTTATGTATTTATAGCAGTGTAAATTTATTTACATATATATTTGTTTTTAGGTCAGTAAAATAAATAATCTTGTTTACCGAGGGAGTCCGCAAATTGCAGTTTACTCTGCAATTATTTGTGTAATTAGAGTTTAACTTTCGTGAAAGTGTGTTTATATATAGAAATCCATAAAAATTTGTGCTCACGAATTTACTTATATTATATATTAGGGTTATTATTTATACAAGTATTGAAGATTAATTTAGATTAATTAGAAGATTAAGTCGGGCTATATTTCGGAATGATTTTCGTAATTGAAGAGACAAACAGTAAAGTATCCACTAATATTGCCGGTGGTAAGATTTTGTAGCTTCTTAAACTTGATCCCCAAGTATAAACTCGAAGTTCACAATAGTTGAAAATATAAGCTCTGTTGTTTTTAACTTTACATTATTTACAAAATTCTCAAATTATTCACAACAATGTTTGGTTGACATTCTGAAGATTTTAGGAATCGAAATCCCGTTGTATTGAATAAATATGTGCTCGTAAATATTACTCTTTAAATTTTATTTTATTATCACTATTTTGGATCACGCGCAATAGAGGTACTTTTTTCGTGTATTTATTTAGAATGTTATTTTTGTTCAGCATTGTTCGGCATTTCCAAATTTTTCTGTGAAGAATGTATTTCGCGTGCTTCGCACAACTTATGGTCAGCGTAAGCGACATACTGAGTATACTAGTCGTGACACGAATAGAAGTTACTCAGCCGTCAACTCAAATAATCCTAGAGCTTACCCTGATAGAAAGTTTTCGGGAAGGTCAAATATTGAGGAGTGATTATTGCTGTGAAATAGCTGTAACATAAAAACTTCTCTATAGGTGGCACCACTTCGTCGAAGAGGAAACAAACACAATAAGGTTTTTTCATTGATGGTTCGATGCTAAGAAAAAAGTGGGAGATTTCTGTAAGGACGTCTCCGTAAAACTTACCGGACTACGGTAGCGTTTTTCAAGCAAAAGTGGCTGCAAATAAAGTAGCAGTATAGGAATCTTCTGAAGTGCCGTCTCTTTCAGGTGTCTGAGCATTCAGTGTTGCAGTAGAGCGGCAATCGTAGATCTGAGCTTGCTAACTGTGCGCTCAAAGTTAGTCACGAGCTATCTATCCTCATTATAAATATCTTCAGGCTACTTCATTATCAGATTAGTTCGGGTGCCTGGTGATATTAAAATCACTAGTCAATGAAAATGTAAAGAGCTGGCAAGAGTAGCCATCTTTGCCCCGCTTACACACAACTAGCAACGAATGGGATTCATGTTGCAATTTAATCGAAGTAAGATGTTTATAGTAAATTGGCTGCGCAACTCTATTTGAACATACTTCGAGTACGTACAATTATTAGTAGAGTAGTATAACAATGCTGTTATTTGTGTTTCAGTATTTCGTTAGACTTGTTGTTTTCAAGAAGGAATTGAAAGAATGTAATTTAATGTTATGGCAACGGATTTAGCTTTATTATAAAGATAAGTGTGTGGCATTATATTCTATAAATGATTTGGGGCAAGCTTTTGCACGAGTTCGGCCTTATGTCAGCAATAACCCGCCGAGTACTTACATTCAAGTGTGAATCGTTTCGAAGTGACAAGTGGTTTCACATATAACAAAAATGGACCAGATGTGTTGAATCCAACGATCTTGGACACGTCACAAGCTCATTACGCTGGATATTGTGCTCATCGAAAGTTTCCTTCAATAAATTGATTATTGAATTATGTTGAATCCATGACATGTACAGCAACATTCCCCAATTCAGACACGAAAAAGTCATTATTCTGATTCTATAGTATTCTTCATTGACTGTAACATTATGGTGAGCTTCTTCGTTGAAAAAAAAAAAAAATTTTTTATTGTGTGGTAAAAATCGGTATCGGTGACCATCTCATTTTTAGCTCATTCACCAAACGTGCGACACGCTTGCCACCCTAAATAAAATAGCACTTTTTTCCTGGTTTTGTCGCTTCAAAGACGGCGATTCGATATTAACAATCGGCCGTGCCTTCGAAGGCGATGAATTGGAACCATTGCTCGATTAGCCACAATACTATACATAAATCCTAGCTTAATTTTCTAAACACAATATTTTTTAAGAAATTCACTAACCATTTCCTAATAATCTGTCTTTTCAGCTTATTCTTCGCCGCATAGTGGCAAAACGGTATGCAATTTGCGCGACAAACTTCAAGAGATATAAGAGCAACATTTAAAGGCATTAACAAAAGGCAAACGATATGTGAATTAGTAAGCAATAAAATACGAAACTAATGCGAGCGCATACATTATATAAGCAAGAAAAAAGAAGGGGAGAAGAAGAATACACAACCCACAAGTTTCAGCGTGTAAAAGAAGGCACTTGTGAAAGTGTGAAAAGAGATAGACGGCGCTGCCAGCATGTGGTACCGTCATAATACTATACATAAAGACACCAACTGATAATTGACCAAACGTACAACAATAACAAGTGCACAAGAATAGAAAATTTGTCGGTGTCAAAAGTGAACAAGCAAATAGAAACGGATATAAATTGGGAGCGAAGGCATAATTAAATTTCCGAGCAACCGTCACGTCCCGTATGCTCACTCTCTCACCTTAGTGCGAAATAATCAGTGTAGGGATAAGAAAAAGGTCTTAAATACCAATAAAGAAACCCAAATTAAGAGCGCAGCAAAAGCTCATAGAGTACATTAAAGCAATATTTATGCTAATTTTTGTTTTTATAGTGCGCGCATTATTAAGTGTCGTGTGAAATGTTGTTATGCGTAAGCAGCCTTAAATTCACTTTTATCTAATCAACCAAGGAGACTTTGAAAGAAAATCTTACTTCGAGCGTTTTCTCATAAAATTAACCTTGATCCCGGGTTTATTTGCCTTCGTTTAAAGCAAGAGAATCAAGTAATTTTGTAGAACGTAATCTAAATTTGAAATTTGTGCAGATATTACGCCCACAGCCACGTTTACCGAACGATTTTTAAAACTTTAAACATAAGCGCACTTATGCTCAGTCGACAAGCATATAGCTTAAAGAGTTAAATCAAATAATAACAATAACTGCTGACTGTTGGTTGCAAAAGCAGCCGTTTGTTTAAGCATATACCGCGCACCCACAGTTGCCATCGGCAGCCGTATTCATAATGGCCGACTTGGAGCGCATAAGACTGGTTATACTGGGCGGTGCTGGTGTGGGCAAAAGTTCTATCATCAAACGTTTCCTCTTTAAGACCTATACGGACAAATATCGCGCCACGGTCGAGGATCTCTTTAATCGAGAATATGATTTGGGCGGCGTCACACTGAAGGTGAGTAAAATCGAAGAGATATTTACAATGTTTACAAAAAGAATTAAACAAATCTATAATAGTAATATAAAAGGTATGATCTCTCCGCTAAACTGGACAAAAATTGGATTTACTAAGCTAAACAAATTTCTTTAAACTTTAGATTGGGCAAGTCTTTGAAGAGAAAATGTTGTAGTTGAAATTAAGCTTTTCTTTAGCTTTCCTTCAGCTTTTCTTCATTCAACCAAAACATTTTCTCTTCAAAGACTTGGCCAGTCTAAGGTTTAAAGCAATTTGTTTAGCTTAGTAAATCCCATAAACAGTTCAGATGCCCAACTGCATACTATATCAGTCCATAATCGAATTATCAGTCATCGTTCGTCCATTACTGTCTGATTTGAATTTATGAAATCGCGTGTTGCGTAAATGGGAGAATACCTCATCCCAAACTGAGCTTTTGTTATTGGGAATAGTGTCGACCTAGCCCCAAGGCATCAGCAGCTGATTCCTGAGTTAACATTTCCACATTGGGGTCTTTTGAAGCGGGGCAGCCGTGGAGGAAGTCGCCAGGAACAAGGGACTTCACTTCTGCTGGCTGCCAGCATAGAACAAGCATCAACTACAAAGATGCAAAATTTGCAAAAGTCATAAGCACGATAGCTCAGAAATATACAAAATTCGTACACATTGTTTATAGCAGAGACGGTAGGAACATAATTTGAATTCACTGGTCACAGCTCACAGTGCGGAAGCGGTCATAGTGTGGTAGCGGCACACGGTTGCAGAATGAGGCTGACTGGATGGCTTTCATTATTTGTGGGTCAAACGATATGAGTTGCTGGAAAAGGTATTGTGGACAATCTGAGGAATCCCTACTTCTCTTTAACTGCTACAAGTGCCTGTAGCACACCATCTCTCATTGCTAAGGACAAAAATTGGTCTTTACGTGACTTAGCCTAGCGTGCGTACCTAACATAACCTACTTGAATCTGAGTAGTTGTCCTGCTACTTTGAAATTTTAAATCTTCCCTTGCTTTAAATTAGCTGTAAGAGTTTAGACATTTCTTAAAAAGATAACTAGAATTTTCGATCGACATTCGTTTTCGTTATGTGAAAAAATGGATCAAAAGGCAAATTGCCGAAACTGAATCCTATTTTGAAGCAACGGATAAACGGAAGCGCTAAGTTCGGGTGTCACCGAACATTTTATACTCTCGCATGATAAAGTGATAATCGAGATTTCAGTCGTGGTTTTGAGCCGATTTCACCTATATATGGTACATGTCATCAGGGTGTTAAGAAAATATCATATGCTGAATTTCATTGAAATCGGTTGAGTACTTCCTGAGATATGGTTTTTGGTCCATAAGTGGGCGACGCCACGCCCATTTTCAATTTAAAAAAAAACTCTGGATGCAGCTTCCTTCTGAAATTTCTTTCGTAAAATTTAGTGTTTCTGACGTTTTTGGTTAGTCGGTTAACGCACTTTTAGTGATTTTCAACATAATCTTTGTATGGGAGGTGGGCGTGGTTATTATCCGATTTCTTCCATTTTTGAACTGTATATGGAAGTGTCTGAGGGAAATGACCCTATAGAGTTTGGTTGACATAGCTATAGTAGTTTCCGAGATATGTACAAAAAAAGTATTAGGGAGCGGAGCCACGCCCACTTTTCCAAAAAATTACGGCCGAATATGCCCCTCCCTAATGCGATCCTTTGTGCCCAATTTCATTTTAATATCTTTGTTTATGGCTTAGTTACGACACTTTAGAGGTTTTCGGTTTCCGCCATTTTGTGGGCGTGGCAGTGGCCCGATTTTGMCCATCTTCGAACTTCACCTTCTTAAGGAGCCGAGAAATACGTGTACCAAGTTTCATCATGATATCTCAATTTTTATTCAAGTTACAGCTTGCACGGACGGACGGACAGACGGATTTCATCTCTACTCGTCACCCTGATCACTTTGGTATATATAACCCTACATCTGACTCTTTTAGTTTTAGGACTTACAAGCAACCGTTATGTGAACAAAACTATAATACTCTCTTTAGCAACTTTGTTGCGAGAGTATAAAAAGTTGTTTCGAATAGTTGTTGCGGCCTTATAATCAGTGCATCACCCTTGAAGGGAATTTTGTTCAATTGAAAAAATAAAAACGAATTTTGCTTAGAAAATGTGTTTTAATATGCTAGCCAGGCGACCTCTTGCGTTCATATCTGTTCTGATTAGGAAAAACCTGTCTTGAGAGCAGTTAAGGTTACGTTTGAGTTCTGTGTACTATTGATAAATTTAAGTTTTTTTAGATGTTGTTTTGTCGAAGCCTCAACATCGAACATACTGCTCGAGTTCAAATTTCAAAGTCATTACAAATAGATAGGTTGAATGCTCTAAAGATTTTATTGTTTCAAAATCTTCATGAAGACTTTCACGATTAGTAAGAAGTTCATTTCTGAAATTTCAACCTTTGGCTAAACAATTAAGACATTATTAAGCCTCTTGCATATCCATGGTATACAATCTCGTCGACAATCGATGATTTATTAGCGGTTCTTACTCTACAATGGTACTACCAAAATTGCGAGTAAGCTGCAGGCAGTGTCAATGGTGTCACTGGAAACACGAAATAATCTGCGTCCCAAAATATTCGCACATTTCTTTGGCTTTATTGTTACGTGTTTGCAGTTTGCTCCTATAGCTTAGTTACTTAATTTCTCAACATGCAGCAGTTGTCTTTGGCTCAAATCTATTGCGTATGTTTATGACTGTGTATCAGGTTACAAAAACAGGAAATCTTCATACCATATAACGCTTCTAAGCAACATCAAGCGGCGACGCATATTCTGTTTAATTGAATTTCTCGTTGATTTGTTGTTTTTTTTTTTTTTTTTTTTTGTTTTTTGTGTCTATGGTTTTGTTTTTTTATTGTAAGCATATCTAATTCTTCCACTATTCACCGCCGTAGCAAGAGCAAGAGTGACTAATACAAGAGAAAGTCACGCTAAAACATCCCGACATGTGTACACATACATACTATATATAAAAGTACTTAACTACATCAAAGTTTGTCTCGTCACGTTGCGCACTGTCGACAAAGCCTAGTCACACATACACACACATTCACATGGAAGAGAATAAAGTACAGAACTTTTGTCTGCAAACATCTTCAATATGACACGCTCGACACGGAATAATTATATGGCGCACAAACACACAAGCACGAATGCATGCTTTTACCGTTAGTTGACAAAGTTGTCTAATAGATATTGGCAACTCTCGACAACACACAAATTAACAAATCTCCCGTTAAATATGTTGCTTGCACTGACAAGAATGTCTTTAGTAGAATATACAGTAGGGTGCCTCAGCTTTAGTCCACAGACATACTTTTCGCTTTGCTACCTGAAAATCTAATACTTTTTCCACCTAACTATTGTTTGTAAAACCTAAAACTTAGCGAGATAGGTATAGAATTATATATACAGAGATTTAATTGATCAGAATTAAGGTGCGAGTTGAATTTCGTATATCTCACTGTCTTCCTAGCGAAGTCAACAACCTGAAAGTTCCTCCGTAATGAATGCTGATTTCGCTTAAGATAAACTAAAAGGTCACTGACCACCGCATAGGTAGTAGTCCTCGAAAAGGGTTGTCAACTCGACTATAAATAAAGAGTTATTGACCACAGCAAAACCCATAGATCTCATGAAGAGTTCTTTGCACTCTACGTGTTGCGAATAAAAAAATTATTTTTTTAATAATTATTTGTGTTATTGTATATCAATATCATCGGCATACGCCAGAAGCTGTACACTCTTATAGAAGATGGTACCTTCTCTATTTAGTTCTGCAGCTCGAACTATTTTCTCCAGAAGCAGGTTGAAAAAGTCGCACGRTAAGGAATCGCCTTGTCTGAAAYCKCGTTTGGTATCGAACGGCTCGGAGAGGTCCTTCCCGATTCTGRCGGARCTTTTGGTGYTGYTCAACGTCAGCTTACAYAGCCGTATAAGTTTTGCAGGGATACCAAATTCAGACATCGCGGTGTAAAGGTAGCTCCTTTTCGTGCTGTCGAAAGCAGCACTGAAATCGACGAAGAGGTGGTGAGTGTCGATTCTCCTTTCACGGGTCTTTTCTACGATTTGGCGCATGGTGAATATCTGGTCGGTTGTTGATTTTCCAGGTCTGAAGCCACACTGATAAGGTAAAATTAGTTTAATTGACGGTCGGCTTTAATTTTTCACACAATACGCTCGATAGAACCTTATATGCAATGTTGAGGAGGCTTAATTATAATAATATAATTGCTATTCGAACTTCTTCCTGGTCGGGCAATGGAACGTCTGCTCCATCGTCATCGATTGGGTTCGCTTTCTCCTGGCGTTGTGCGTTCGCTGCCATTCAGCAGGCTGGAGAAGTGTTCCCTCCATAATTTAAGTATGCTCTGGGCATCGGTGACTAGATCACCTTTGGCGGTTATAATAATTAATATACAATTGGCAACCACTTATTCAAATATCGAATAGTGGATTACAAGAACTTTTTGGACGGTAAGGTTTAGCCTCCATTATAGTGAGGAGTGAGGAAAGTATGATTATTCCTGATTATAACACCACCTGTGGAAGACGTGCCGCCTCGCAATTCAAAAAAGTGTAAAGTTTAAAGTGATCTTTGTCGTAGCGTAATAATACTATATACAAGTAGATATACAACCAAGTGTCAGACTAAAACAACGGTCTTTTGCGATTTTATATCAGAGCATTTAATTTTTCTGCACAGAAATGAGAAGAAATTCACAAAAACATTGTAGATAATGAAATGAGAGATACTTATATATTTTATTTTGAGATTTTTCTTTGAATTTTATTTATGGCACTCTATGTCTTGCTTGTTTTCCTATTTTATTTTGCTTTTGAGCTCATTTCAACGCGCCATCTCCAGTTTTACCAGAGCAGCCGGCATCTTTTTTATGATTTGTTTCTTTGGAATTTATAAAATAATTCACTTGTAGGCCTTTCCATTGGTG